TCAAACGCTGCAGTAGCCCTCGTCGCCGAGCCGTAGCCTCATGTCCTGCCAAAGCACAAGGGGGATTCGAAGAACTGCTGACAGGAGAGATCGACTGCGACCAGGTGGTGAAGGCTGTGACCGGATCCTTCGCTTGGCTCCGAGCAAGATCTCGAACGGATGTCGCCAACATGATGATGTCGGTGTGAGGTTCGCTCACCTGAAGCGCGCAGCGTCTTGCTTGCAGTAACTTGGTCTTTGCAACCATCCGCCTTACGCGAGAACTCTTGCGGCAAGTTTGCACGACGCCAATTTTCTTGAGTAACCTCCAAATAGAAGCGATCATCCTCAGTACTGTGAACTACAATTACTCCGATAGAGAAATACTTCATTGAGAGTGCAAACGACAACAGTCATGCCCCGGCTTCATGATCAGTGATGTGATGTTACTTTGCCCTCGAGACTCTTGTTTGTTCAACTTGGCCCGCGAGAGGCATGTCTGAAAGATGAAGCCTTGGTTGTCCATGCTCTGAACATGCACAGCTTCGAATATGCTGTTATTCTTCAACTTTGCCCGTGTCCGCGCTTACTTGCATCGGAAACAACCCACTAGAAACTGCACTCGCTCTCAATCCCCTGTGCTTGAAGCATCCCTCGGTCTCTGCGCCCGTTCTTCTTTTTCATGCTCTCCTTTGAGTGGACTTTGACTTTGCTGTACACCCGGCAACTGTTCCGAACCATGAGCGTGAAGGCAGCCATGTCTGCCAAGTCGACAGTAAGCATTCGACCTCAAACAGCCAAAGAGTTTGGCATGAACAATGAGGCCTCAAAGGCATGACCTCGGCCCCAAACTTTGCAGAGCCGGCTCCGAAGATCGTACCGCTTGGATCAACTCCACCAAAACCTGGAAGACAAGAAACACGAAGGCCACTCCCTCGTCTCTACAGCGATGCAGCATCAATCCCTGGCCTCCAGAAAGCAGGGCACAGTGACCTCGACTCCACAAACTGCCCTCAAGCCGATGCAAAGAGCCGCGGCCCTCAACTCCACGACTCTCCCCGATGAGCCGCGGACAAAGGGGTTCGTGTTGGCACGCTCCAAGCATAGGGGCAGGAACCTTGGCTTCAATCGCACATGGACGTTCGTTCAACTGTTGTGTTGCTCTGTGTGAACTGCAGGCCGTCTGCAGCGGTGGTGCTCAAAAATCACAGCCGAATTGGTGATGCCATCTGCAAGAAGATGCTTGCAAAGCTCTTGCTGCTCAGGTGTGCCAAGGGCATCCCAGGATCTCTGCAGGCTAAGGAAATCCTGCAAGTCGGTCGCCACGGCTTTGCAACACCATTGCTTTGGGCACTGTTTATGCTTAACCCAGAACTCCATCCTTGCATCAGTCTTTGTGTTCTTTCCTCAGGCGGTGAGGTCGTGCAAACACTTGCGCCGTCAAGCCCGAATTGTGTGAAGTTTACATGCATGGCGTGTCCTCCTTGTCTTAGCCGAAACAAAACGCTTCAAGCAAACTTCACAGATGAAGAGAAACAAACGATGGCCGAAGATGAGACGGCGTATCTTTCAGCAAACGTGTTGTCGACCACTACTGATGAGGCCGCGATGAGGAGCAGTTGCACTGAAATCGCACGCACTTCACGGTGAACTAACAGGAGCCAGGGGCTCGAACGGCGCGCCCTTTGCTAAAGACTGCAGACACATCGCACCGCTTTCCCGCCAACGAACGCTTGGACCATCCGGATGCCTATCTATAAAACCCTTCCAAGACATACAGACACACAATCACACACATATACACACACAACACATCCTGATCGTGGGGCCAGCACATGATTCTCCGCTCTCATGATTCTCCGCTCTTCTTCTTCTTCTCGCCCTTCTTCTGTCAACGTCATCTCGCTGAAAGAGCAATTGTTTTGGCTTGTAAGTGTTGAAGAAAATTCGCCACGCCACGAAGCCCTGACTGACAGGCTGCATGGCTTTACAGTCTCACAACTCGTACAGTCTAGAATGAGGCTTTAGGATTGGGTGGCGGGGAAGGCTGCAAACAGGACAAAACCCGCATCGGGCATGAAAGTCTGAAGTTCCGTAACAATTTGTTGCATGCGTTGTCTTGGATCGCCTGACCCGAAAGCCCGTGTCCTTTTGCGTCTGGATCCGGCACAAACCTTGGTGACTCCGGCGCAGTCTCTAGCTCCAGCCTCGTGGCTTGCGGGCTTCTGCTTGCTAAACGCGGTACAAATGCTGCCACAGGCACAGGCCAGGCGAATGACTGCAAGGTCGGTGGAATGCTGCGGAGCCCGCGACAAACCCAATCCTCCACAGCGGTGCCCGAATTGACGTTGAGCCATGCAGCGCCATGCAGCAAGCCCTGCCTCGATGGTAGATGTAAGTCCAGTACAGCCGTGCAGGGTCCTGTCACGGTGCTGGGGTTTGCAAATAGTGCCAAGCCACGAATGCAGTCCTCGTTCAAGACATGCTGCATGGTGTTCAAGCCCATGATCGTGGTTTCGGCGTTGCCTTCGGTGTCAAGGGCCCCTGAAGCTTCAAGAGGCCCAAAACAGCGGACGAGGCCTCCGAAAAGCCCCAAACAGTGAAAGACGCCATGAGGACCAGAAAAGCACGAACACTGTCACATGCTAACGGGCCTGAATTGTTTGGGAAAGCAATCGTCGCGACTAGTTGCCATCCGTGTCTTCCGCATTTCCCCCACGTGACCACCCAAGAAGGGACCCACGAAGAGCACGTCGACCAGGACGACGACGACCAGGAAAGGGGACCACCAGGAGACCATTAAGAGACAACCAGGAAAGCAGGAGACCAAAAAAGTGATGGCACTACCAGTAGGAGACCACGAAGAGACCAAGAAACCACCAAGGGAGCACCAGGAGAGCACCAAGAACCATCAGGAGACCACCAAGGGACCACCAGGACACAGGCTGCAAGCAGGAGACCAGCAGGAAAGCAGCCGGGACGCTCCCACGACTAGTCCTTACCGCAGGTACTGTCGAATTCGGAGTCCCAAAGGCCTGCCCCCAAGTACTGGCGAGATTCAGGAGGATTCGAGAGCAAGGCGGAATGGCTTTCCCCCAGTACTGGAGGGTTGAGAGGCCGCCCAACAGCGCTTACCCCCAAGTACTGACGTGCCCGCGAGATCCATAGTCCATGGGATGCGGATTTGCTCCGCAAATTATAGGATGCGGGGAGCTCTTTCTCAAGGTGCCGCGTGCGGGAACCTCAATCGACACTCTCTTTTCTTCGGATGCAAGAACCCCATAATGTCACCACGCTGTTTGGGGAAAAACTCTTCCTGCAGAGAAAATCGCTTGACAATCTGTCCACAGAAATCCTGTCGCGGTAACTCCACAGTTTGGCGCTTGGGCGGAAAACTTAGGTGGCACTTTCGACTGCCACACACGGATACCACGCACAACGCTTCGGCGATCTGGTGCGCGCCAACGAGCTGAACGGAGTCTTGAAGCAAGCAAAAGCAAGCCAGAGCAATCCTTGCATTGACCATTTCTTGCCCAGCCACGGCAGGTCATGAAACGAGAGCCTGTGCCACCAGCCAGACCTGACATGAAGCCGAGCAAGATGAGGACCTCGGCTCGCTCCAAACTTGCGGGCCAAAAGCCCTGCCCAGCCCTGCTGAGGTCGTGAGCCAGTCTAGCCGCTAGCCAAGCTGCGAAGAATTTCAATGTGTCCTCTCCTTGGGTTTGCTCCAAATTCCCAGACTGCCAATCGCAGCTTCTCGTCGGCCACACCCCGCGGTCACGATGCATCGTACCCAGTGCTGCCGAGGAGCCTCCCTTGGTGTGCATGAAGTCTTTCAATTGGCACAGGTTCCCTGCGACCTGGGCTGAGCAAGGTGACCATCCTCTAGCTCAGCAATACCTGGCCCGGCCAACATCAAACTTCGTTCGAGATCTGTCTGAAGAACTCCTGCATATTCGCAATGCCGGCAGCTTAGTAATTTAGCAACCATGTTCGAATCGAACGCAGCAAAGACATGAAACGACTACAACATGTAAAACTTACCCGGTTACCCATGAGGACCCACAGTCCTATGAGCAAATTCCAGCTGCGTACCTAGCGGCATTTTCGCCTTGCAACATCTGGGCAAAGTTGAATTCCTGCTGCAACTCCAAGGCATCCATCCTCAAGCAACTTAGAAGAAATGGCTTCGTCGACAGAGGCAGCAGCACCGACGGCCAAGCTTCACCAATGTCGACATGTTCCGGTCCATGCATTTTGAGGAAGGCATGGCATCTGAATAGTTTTCCTCGGCCACCGGACGAGGAAGCATCGTGAAGGGTGGCGTCTTGAGCGACGCATGAGGCGGGGAGTTTGGAAGTGCAACCGGTTACATGCACTTGTTTGCACTCGCATCGGCTCAAATCTCAAAACCGTGGACGAGGTACTAGGATGTATCGGACGGCTGCCTCCGGCCGGCGTCGAATTGGAGGCAGCTGGCGCGTCAATGACCTTGTTTGGGGAAGCTGGCCTTCCCAATGGATCGGTTTACACCTGCTTGCTGCCTGCTTGATGAGCCGGCCTAAACTTGCCAATTCCACGAATGGCTAGAAGAAGAATCGCAGCCTGCAACTTCCTTGGATTGACCGAGACAGTCGGCGGAAAAAGGAAACACTGATGGCATGCACAGATTTGAGAGCGTCGGCTTGCTGCGGCGCGACCATCAGCAACCATCTGTATCAATCCCAAATACTCAAATACTGTAAAGCAGTTACACGGTGCGAACATGCGTCTCCTGGGTCGGACCCGCCCATTCCAGAACGCTCCGCAGCTGCTGCCACTGTGGTCGGGTCAGGCGACCGTTCTCTCGCTGGGGCAGGATGTAGGCCTTGACGAGACGGTTGGCTCTACGAAGCGTTGATAGACAATCAACTCCACCAGCTGCTGGTGGTCCACTTTACTGGTGAGACTTCAGCAAGGCTCGCTTGGATTCCCGAGACTACAGCGACGGATCGATTTCTATGTAATATGTAATAGCCATTTGCACAAAACCCTCCCAACTCAAGGGAGCATCAAGAGTGCAAGTCATGAGGAGCCACTGCTTCCTGCGAAAACTCCACGGGAGCAACATCCCTATTACCAGCCTGTTACCTTGTATGAAAAGTATGCAGCATGAAAGGCGCCAGATGTGTCAAACAGGTCATGCATGCGACAGAAGATCGCTATTCATCTGGTCTGCTGCGTAGTCATCCCGCACCAGGGATACCAAAGACAGGATCGCAGATTCAGCACGCTCTTGCTCCTTCGGCTCAGAGAACCTGTGTGATGGAAGGATGGTGCTAGCCCTTCTTCGTTGCCGTGTACCGCAACTCTGTAATGACACAGTGGCCTCGCATGAAGGCCACCCTCCACGTCCAGCTCTACAAAAGCATCCCGGAGCTCCTCCAAGGATGGCACGCTCCTCAGCACTGCAGAGGACCGTCGAGAGGGTCAACAGGTGTCAACAGCATACGACGCACGTCAATGCTCCAAGCGTCGAAGAGTTCAACACCTTTGCAGTAAAGGTAGAAGGGCTGGCAGTGCGTCCCGGCTTGCTGGTCAATGGCTGCAGGCTCAAGTAGCGGATGGCTTTCCCTCAGCCATCGGAAGTTCAGTGGCTTAGCTTCCTCTCCATGCTTCAACGCACGAACCTTCGCAACAAAACTAGGCAATCGAAAGTAAACTCGCTTCCGAAACGACTGGTCTGGCAAGGTGTTGATCAGGTTGGTACCCTGTGCGTCTGTTCGCAAAACCAGCTAGAGGACCAGAAATCTCAACCTCGACATCGCAGCAATCGAGAAGCTGTCATCCATGTAGAGGTCCAAATAAAAGGAATTGCATTCGCTGGCATTTTTGGCACAGTCTTCGGATGCTTGCAGAATATCGTGGGCAAATGCATCGACGTCGGGTGAGGAATAGCGACCGACGAACCTTATAGGGCGCTCCATCTACAAATTATGAAATGTGAAACTGTCGGGCAGGGTCTGTGATGGCGGGCGGCTCCGTGGCATACTCCACAAACATAGTGGCGCAAGGGGGCGAATGCGACCTCGGTCTTCAGACTCGGCGCAGTCTGGCCACTTTTCTTCTCACTTCAGTTTACCTATTTTCAACGAGCTGCAGGATGTCGGCAAGCTTGTGGCCTGACAATTTGAAGACCTGGCAACAACCAGTACACGGCTACCGGCTACCAGGAATCTGATCATCTGCTACTGGTGACGGCATGGCGGTACGGAGAGTCTCGAAGATTTCCCATCACGCCCCCACCAGTAGCAACGTTGCCTTTATATGCGAACAGCTCCATTCACAGACTGCTTTAAATTTGCAGCATGCTGTTTGTGGTGTGTTGCCCTTGGCGTGCAGGACGACTTAGACTCAGACGAGTGGTTGCGCAATGCACACAAACATCATTGGTTGGGCACGCGACCTCAGCGAAGGACTCGGCCACCAGCGTGCAATCGTGCATGACGGCTTCCACGTACATTGACACCTCAAGCCGTGGTAAGGGGTGGGCAATGAGTTCGTGACGACACAGTTGGCTGTACAGTGCCGGAAATCCCCTACAAGTATCGAATCTCCACTACCCTGATCTTCAAACTCATGCTGGGCCTCCGCAAAGTATCGGTGTTCATTGACAAAGTTGCAGACATTGTTCGCCATGTCCAGCTCCGTGCCTGGAAGTGTAGTGACTCTGACTGCCCCCCCTACGTCGAACTGAAGCAATTTCGCCGGGTCCCGGGTCTCCGGCAGACCGAGAAGGCCCCGTGGCTGGTGATGTACATGCTCTCGGCGAGAGATGCCTCGATGAACACTGACTCTGCCTCGCGCAAAGGCTCGCCGCGGCCACAGAATTTCAGGAGTGCAAACACATGTGTCAATGCATTTCCACTACAGTGCGGCATTTGGTTATGAACATGTGAACCCAGTCATGCAGTCAATCAAAACACATCTTCTGCACATGCAGTCCGACAACGCGAGACATGCCGAAAACATGGTAGACTCTTGACGGGCGAGTTTTCCCATGGGCAGTTATGGCATCTGCAATGCGGACTATGCATGCTGTCAACCAGAAGTCCAACTCGAGATCATCGCACGATGCACTGCAGAGGTTATAGGCCGGGGTACGAGACGAGAACAAACACGGGCGACACACTCTGTTGATCCGGCCAATCCAAAACGACCATGACTCTCGGTCTTGTCCCAATAGCCGACAGAATATATGCAGTCGGGTGGAAACGACTCGGCCGGCCCTAGGTGGCAGGATTTATTTACACTTCAACATCGTGAAGACTTTGTTAGGCATTTTTGTTTGTGTAGTCTGTGCTGGAGTTGTTCTGTTGGTCCTACTGCCTCAGGAGTGCCGCTACCATTCCTGCAACTCCTACTCCTGCTGCTGCTATTGCTACTGCTACTGCTACTGCTACCACCACTGCCACTACCACTACCACTACCACTACGACTGCCACATACTGCCACTGCTGCTACTACTACTACTACCACTACTACTGCTACTACTACTACTACTGCCACTGCCACTACCACTACTGCTACTACTACTACTACTACTAGTAGTGCTACTTCTACTATTACTAGTACTATAGTTGCGTGGGGGATTGATCTCGACTTGGTTGCTGCTCTCCCCACCAGAGCTGTAATGAATGTAGGTGTGGCTGGCTAGCACTCTCCACAGACTGGACCCTGTCTCTCCCTCTTACTTCCACACGTGCAATCCTATGCAGGCAGAACCGGCGGCCGTTCCTTTTGCACTCACTGCCGGCGGCGGTTCGTCTGTGCAACGGAATAGCTCTGATTGCTCAGGATAGAAGACACATATAGCACTTAGCTATGGGCATTGACTTGAGCCAAAACGTTGCGTTGGCGGTCACATAGAAAGGTAAAGATGAGGGATGCGTAGCATGCCCCCTAGAGTCGAGGGACGCGTAGCGTGCCCCCTTCTCTTGCACTTTACACGGTCTTGCTCACAGCTCTTATAGTGACACCTTAGAACATGACAAGGCATCGCAGTCCGTTCGCACCCCCCATGAGTTGCGTCTCCGACGCTGCTCACCCGGAAGATGGCACGATAGGACAGAAGAAAATTCCGCCGCAACGTTGACATTGAAAATCAGAGCTTTGTATCCCAATTAGAAACGTTGTGACACTCATCTACGTCAGTAACGATCCCCTGAAATGACAAACGAATCAGGCGTCACCGAAGAAAGAAGCATTCGCGATGGCATTCCACGAGCGAAGCTCAGAGGTCACGAACTGATAGGCGAGGAAGATCAGGCGTTGTCTCGCCACCATCTTCGCGTTGACGTAGGATCGCGGTCCCAGGGCCGGAGGTTCTCCTCTAGATACTGGTTCCTTGGCTTTCCTTTGTCCTTGCCTTTGTTTCGGCCTTTGGCGGCGATGTAGTCGTGGTAGGAATTGGTGTTCCAGCCACCATGTTGCTCGCCTCCGGTTCTTCCACGCCCTTTTGAAGGTCCCTTGGATGAAGAAGCGCTTTCACGTTCCTCCGTAGTGACAGGCGTGTCCAGGATGGAAGTACCACCTGGAGGAAGATAGTCAGCGGCCGAAATGTGATGTAGGGCCTCCGTACGCTTTGTCGTCGGGTTTTGCTGTCTCTCAGTTTTGGATCTGTTCAATCTGTCCATGAAATGCGCAGGCATCTGCACACTGTGGTCCACCAGCAAGGCGATGGTCTGGACTGACTGGTCAGAATGAGTCAGCAGAATACCAACGGGGTCGATGTACAAGAAGTCCACTGTTCCAGTTGGCGTTGGTCGTAGCACTGAGAATTGTTGGTGTCCCGTCACCATTGGGATCACCTCGCATAGGACGTTCAGGCAACAAAAGTGCATTGCCTTTACATCTTCATCCCTGTCGCTCTTCAAGTAAGTAGTAGGGTTGAAGTTGTCCCTGCCAATTCCCATCATGTTGGCTCCACGTACAAGTAAAGAAAGCATCTGGTTCGTCCGGAAGCGCTTCAAGGTGTAAGTCCCGTTGGGATCATACTGTTTGAGGTTCTCAGGTTCCTTTGCAAAGCGAATGATCTCCTCATCAGTCACGTCCCTGCTCACGCCTGTTTCCTTATCCACTGCCGCCAAAGATCCCCACTTTCCAAGCACATCATAGCGTTGGCCAAGTGCGAAACTTTCCCTCATCTGAAACAACGGCATAGTCGCCCACTTTGCGAATCCTGACCAAGCTTTGTAGATGGATCTGCATACCACGTATGCCATGTACGAAAGAGCGGTCATGTTCGCGTCAATGCAATGGGCATTTCGCTTTCCAGAATAGTAAGATGGCTGCATGGCGGTACGTGCAAGTTGTAGCTCAGGATCGATGTTCAAAGACTGGCCGGTAATGAAGACGGGACGACGTTCCTGTGCGATTGCTTCTGGAACTGCGTCATCAAAGTCCTCTTCAGGTTCGACGTCCATTTCTTCATCAGGTTCCTGTTCTGGATCGTCCTCCGCGACGAGAGATGGTTCTGGGATTTCTTCAGGTTCCGCAACGGTCTCTACCTCCATGGCTTCCTGCTCCTCTTCGGGCGCCTCAGGCACTGCGGCTGCTGCGGCTTCCATTGTCTGAGCAATGAAGTCACTGGGGATCTCCGTAGGAGTCTCCCGTTGTGGAGAACCTTGGTAATATCCGCTCGAAATGAACTGTGACCAGCAAGACGTGCATCGGGAGAAACATGCTGGAACGATGTTGTAGCATGCCGGGCATACCCTCATTCTCCGTCCATCCTCGTCTCTGCGTAGGTCTTCGGGTCGCCAATTCTTGATGACAAACTTGATTCCTTTGTCCATGTAGTGATGCCGAACCGTGTTCTCCCTGTGGGACTCCAGGACAGTTGTGAGGTCACGAATGATCTGCTCCTTGCTTGTGTCGTGGGGTCCAGGAGGCATCTCGCAAAGCAATTCCATGATCTTGCTTGGCGTTCGGTATCTCTCGAACTCGGGAAGCAACGGCGATGCATTGTAGTCCAACACCAGCTCTTTCTCCAACCTTTCATCGTAGATCTTTTCCACCAGAGCGAAAGAGTGTGTATCTCGAGGATCAGGGACGCAAAACCATACCTCCTTGACGAAATGGAAAGGTATCGTTCGACCAACGATCATGATGCCGCTGTCTGTGATACGTCCATCCTCTCGTGCAAGATCTTGCGATGGGACATGAAGGACCGCCAATGGCATGTGCTTGGCGTCTCGTCCATGTACTCGCATCTTGGTCGTTGCGTTCCGGTGATCGAACGGCGCAAACACCCCCCAATAGCTGTGGAGTCTGCCGCCTTGGTTGCCTCGGAATTGGCGCCTATGGTCGAAGTCCCCGTCGGGGTCCTCCGAACCAGGCATGATGCCTTGCGTGACAATGGAATCCAAGTTGCGGCATGCCGTAGCGTGGAACGCACCTCCAAGACGTTGCAAGAGGGTCATAGATGGAGATATTGCGAACCTGTTCTTGTCCAACTGAAGCAAGTTGTTCTGGGGATCTGAATGCGCAGAGTGACCACTCGTAGCCCGAACTGCCCATGGCTTCACCCAGCCGTTGCATAGGTTCAGGTACCTCTGGCCATGCCGGCAATGGTCGTTGCTCTGGATCTCCGTGATCTGGTCCCGAACTGATACCAACATGTTCGAACCTGCTGATCCAAGAACTTCCGTGCCGGGGTCCTTCACTCTCACACCCAGGAACTGCAACCGAATCTTGGCCTTGTTGCGTTTCGTGGCTGCAATCATGTTCCCCTGGAACAATAGCTGAAGTCTTTCATTGTACACTCTCTTCTTCTGTTGGTCATCGGTCCTTGAGACCCCTTCGGTGATGCGTCTGCTTTCATGGGTCCATAGTGGCTCATGCCTCACCAAGTCTTCGATCAGCACCCACCCTCCTTCATCACATTTGATGACACTGTTGAATGCCACCTGGCACCGGTTGTCAAGCCACTCCGAGCCCGGGCGCCTGGCGATTCTGTGGCGCAAGTCAGACTGGATGCATGATAGCGCCCAATCCGCATTCAACCTGCGCTGACGGGTGATGTTGCGAAGGACAACTTCGTTCACGATGTCCCACCGATTGTTGATGAAGCTTGCACCCTTGGTTGGGATCAGGTCGAGAATCCCGCACCGGATTGGCCTTCCGCCGCCGATGGATTCATAGCCTGGATTGGTGTAGCTATGAGTGTTTTCATCGTAAGCAAAGCTAGGACGGTCTCCTCGTTGAGGTAGGCGTCGGTCGCGATGGTCCGAAAGCTGCTCAATGATGTCCACCACTCGCTGGCTATTCTCTGGTCCCGATTCCTGCAGTGGTACGCCACAAGCATCATTTAGGCCCCGACGATTCTCCACATCCGTGCAGAGATTGTGTTTGTTCTCATAACGGATCAAGACCACATCACCCCGTACGGCTTCGCCTCCGCGTCGCGGTCGGGCTTTGGCCTTGGGTCGTCGGTCCGAGGATGCAACACTCACATGATCTGTGGCGTCAACGTCCATTGGTTCAGCCTCTTGTGAAGGTACTCGACGTGGATATCGAAGAAGACTTTCCTTGATGATCTGGACGCCTCGAAGTACCAGGTCCCGGGTTGCAGCATTCTCTGTGCAATTTGACAGAGTATGCAGGTCACTGCCACAAGCAACACAGAATGTGATGCGATCGCTTCCGACTGACATCTCGCCCTGAGCGAGTACGCCAACATAGTCCTGAAGCTGCGTGACAAATCCTTCACGAATTGCATGCCTGGGATCAGGGCCTTCTGCACCTTGCTCTTCTTCGG